GTGTGTGTTTTGTTTTTGTTGTTTGGTGGTGCTGGGGATCAAACCCAGGTCCTCATAAATGCTAGTCAAGCCCTCTATCACAGAGCCACACCCCCAGTGATTTTAAAATTAATTCTGTAGACTGGCATGTGTTTTATTCTGGAGAAAGTCCATGTATTCTTGAGAAAAATGTTTCTTCTGTTGGATGGAGTGTTCTGTAAATGCTAAGTTAAGGTGACTATTTTTTAATGAGAATAGGGTGTTAGATCTCTCATCTAACTGCTATATTAAACTGTGTTTTCCTCCTTCAATTCTGTCAGGTTTTATTGGTTTGTTTTGGGTCTTTTTTGGGCAATACTGGGGTTTGGACTTAGGACCTTGTGCTAGGCGAGCACTCTACCACTTGAGCCACTCCCCTGCCATTTTTCTTTTAGTTTATTTCTCACATAGGGACTTGGGGTGGGCTCAAACCATGATCTCCCTCTGTAGTAGCTGTGATTACAGTTTGTGTTTGGGGCTCTTTTTATGTGTGTGTTTATAATTGTATCTTCCTGATGCTTTGCCCCTTTCTTACAGCATGTGCTTCTGAACCTCTGGTACCACTTCATTTTTACTTTGTGTAGTCTCTTTTCTCTGGTAGTGCTGCAACATGCAGTTACAGTTACCACTTGCTGTAACCTACTACTTTCTTTTCATGAATTTGTGTCTAAAGCATGTTTCTTGGATTTTGCTTTGTTTTATTTAGTTTTAACAACCTCTGCCTTTGATTGAAGTGCTTATTCACATTTGATGTAATCAATGATATGGTTGACTTTACATCTGATATTTCATTTTTTAAGAGCTTATGTCATTTTATTCCTGTGTCCTTTGTTTCTGTTTTTGTATTGTATGCTCTCTATTCAAATCATCTTAATGATTTTGTTGATCTTTATAAAGTATAGTTTGGGGTTTTTAAGTGATTATTTGAGGGATTGCAGAATGTATTTTGCTCTAAGTCTGCTTCATGGTAATACTAACTTAATTCCTGTGAAATACAGAAATTTTATCTAGAATAAATAGCTCTATTTCCTCTCCTCTCCTTTATGATATTATTTTCATTTGCATTATACTTCTCTTACAACCAATACTTGTTTTTAAGAGGTAAAAAAAAAATCCATTATTTATAGTGGTTTTTGTATTAACTTACATATTTTCTGTTTCTGGTTCTCTTCATTTCTTCCTGAGGGTTTGTGCTTTGAAATAGGTTACTAATTTGATTTGTTCTATTTCTGTATCTTTCTGGCATAGTTTTTGGTCTGTAGGGATGTCATTCTCTTAAGTTTTTAATGCTAACATTTTAATAGGATTTACTGTAATTATTTATTAATTTCATGTGACTCTGACTCCTGTCTTCCCCTCCCGTTTCGTTTTTTTTTTCTTTTTGTTTTGTTTTGAGACAATCTTACTATGATCCTCCTGCCTCAACCTCCCATATGCTGGGATTATAAGCATGGCCCACTGCACCTGGCCTGAGATGGTTTTCTTGAACAAGTAGAATAACACAGAGTTCATCACACCATAACTCGTCACAGAGCTCTCATTGTGTGTGTGTTTTTAAAAAATGGCAGCTGGCTTTTTGGAATTTCCTTGCTCTCTGTTTTCCCCCTTTCCCTCAATGTTTCCTTTGTGTCTATCATCCTCACTTGTCACTCTACCCTAGTGATTTCTCCTTAGTTCAAGGCTTATGTGGATGGGTGCCAGGGAGACCATTTGACTGTTCCCAGTGGTGTGCTAACCACTCATCATACGTACCAGCGGGCTAGAGACATAGCCCCTTCCTCCTGGACACTGCTGTTTCTCAGTCTTGTCTTCTTTTCTTCTGACCTTGCATTCACCATGTGCCCAGTTGTTTCCGATTCCTTCTGCAGAGGTGGTGATACCTATTGGGTTTTTGGGCTGTTGGTAGTTTCTATAGCTCTTTTGTGTCTTGGGTTTGTATGTTTTCACAAATCCAAGTTGTGAATGTGATCCAGGAGCCTTGGTTTTTCTGCCTCCTGCAGAAGATTTTTGAAACTGCCAAGTATCTTTTGAGGTATTGTAACAACCCCACTGTGATGTGGGGAAATGCCCTTCCAAGGGTAGGTTAAGGTGTTAGAATGCATGACACGCACGTCTTAGGGTTATAGAAAGATTTATTCCCCACACAGGTGGCAGTTCTAAGGTGGGGCAGTTTTTCTGGGAGATGCCTGGAAGCAGAAAGCAAATAAGTAGGTGGAGGAAGGTGTTTTGTAAAGGGAGGTTCTTTGGTTCAGAACTTGAAGAAGCTGCTGCAAGGCTCCTGGAATCCGAAAGGAGCTGAGAGCTCGTATGCTTGGTGAGTTGCATTAGTAAGCTGCAGAATGTGCCAGACGTGATGCTCAGAAGCCACTGGCCCCAAAGCACACATCAGCGGGCATCAGTGGGCATCAGTGGGCATCTGTCCGTCCTTGGGCTCCACAGCTGACATCCACTTCTTGGCTTCAGTTGCTGCTGTGGTACACCACTGAGGAACTGGGCATTGATGTCACCTGCTACCACTCATATTCTCAGCAGCAGGATCAACAGCTCCTGGAAGCAACTTGTGTTTTCTTCGGGGATCCAGGAATAAGGCCTGCTTGATAGTCCATCCAAAGAGAGGGGGCTCAAGACAGATGGTACAGTTTGCACCTCCAGAAACCGTTATTAGTGGCTGCACAAATAGCAAATGACCCATGACCAACAGTCTTCTTAGCTCTACTTTTTGTTCAGTTCTGTTAGTAACAAGTTTTTTATCTAAAACATTTAACTTAATCAGGCATTCACTAAGTGTTTAATAAGTCCACCTCATTTTTACATACTTCATGAGATTTTGGGAATATAAATAGCCAAAATCCCTGCTCTCGGGAAAGTTTTCAATTGTTGTTTAATAAGCAGTTATAAAGTAATCCACTGTTAGGAGAGCACAGAAGAAGGAAAATAGCTTGTCTTACTGGGGAGGAGATTATGGGGAAGGAAATGACATTTAACTTGCTGAATGTGAGTATATTTACTGAATTTAATGAGTTGTCTTTAAAACATTTATTTAAAAATCACTACATGAAATGTTCAGATCATAAAATCTTACCCTTATATCAGACATATTAAATACTGATTATACGTACCCTAAATTTGAATACTCATTTGTGAAGTGTCAGTGAGTACAGAGCCTAGTGCCAGGAGTGCTGTTTGCATGTCTTACCCATGTGATCCTTACAGTGACTCACCAGGGTAGAGTTCTGTCTTTCATGTACAAATGAGGAATGAATGTTGCAGAAATGATGTCAGTAGGAAGTGTCACGGGGGATTTAGACTCAGCTCGCTCTGGCTTCTCATCCTGTGCTTTCAGTCAATACAGAAATACATTGTACTTTAGGGAGAAATTTTGCTTTTGCCATCTGTTTTGCTTTCTTGTGTTTAGTTCAGGAGAGTGAATTCTTAACTTTTTATATAAAGAAATACAAAAGGACTTTAAAAGACTTTTTTTCATTTCAAAGCTGTATAAAGACTTGGTTATGTAATTTGTAATTTTTTAGGCTGGCTGATATGCCAAGTAACTTAGTTTCTTCTGTTCTTTATTGTTCATTTGTACTACTTGTCTTGACATCTCAGAACCCTGTTCTGTTTTATCATACCGAACTTTGGAAGACTGTAAAATATATAGACCTACTTAAAATCAGACTTAACTGTGATACCACTCATATAAATACAGTTGTACTTTAATTTATTAAAACCGTCCTTTGGAAAAGTGCAAGAAAGCACTTGAGGAAATATTATGATAGTACTTTTTGGAAAATGATAAAGAAAAGTAATTGCTAGGGAAGAGAAAGTAAGGCAAATGAAAGGAGAAAGGTGGTGACATAGGTTGACAGAGTAGGTGAGGTTCAAAAATAAAAATTAGTCATGCTAATCTTGTGTTCAACATTTTATAAATCTGGCCCAAATTTATGACACAAAGGTGTGTGATTACTCTTGAATTTAATGTCCTTGAGATCTGTTAGATGTTAAAGATCAAGTAACCTTAGGAACCTAAAAACTGAATCATCTTCCTTAAGATGAGTGATGGGATTCCCTGTTCTTCTGAGTAGCTTGTGTTTTCCTTCTCTGCCTCCCTCCCTCTTTCTAGGCTTGTGCTGTTGGAAAACTTGAGTTTATGGAAATATCAAAGCATTTATTTTCTTGAATATTATTTTGACTCAAAACATGATTTGTTCATTCTAGAACATTCACTAATTATGTTGTTCTGTGACACTGCAAAATTCTGTGCCTTGAGTAGTGTGTTGAGTACTGTCTCTATCTCCTTGTTTATAGTATGCATTGCTTGGGAAAATTCTGGTCTGCTTTTCTCATGAACATTCCCTGCCAGAGGCAGGCCTTCCTTTTGGCTGCCTCAGTTGAGGGTAAGTAACAGGATAGCAGTAGGGCAGCTGAGGTGTCACTGCTGGGGAAGCCAAGGTTTGAGGGGAGCTCTGCTGAGTGCCTTGTTGGCATGATGTCTGTTTTCACTCAGAGCTCCTAACACCAGGAGTGATTAAAAAAACTGCTGAGTCTTCATTCTTTCATAGCAGAAGGATGAGCCGACTGCTCATTAAAATCCACTTACCAGTGCTGACCACACCTGAGAACTTTCCTCAGTGCTCACCCTTCTTCTGATGAGAGGGCTTATGTGAGTCCAGAACTGGCAGTTGGGGAGGTGACTTGTGAACTTGAGGCCTGCTGCCAAGTTTGGGTCTATCATGGGAATTTTTTTTCATAGATATATTTGACCTAAAGATATGTTTTCCTTGGGATTTATATGTGTTAATGTAGATTAAGAGCTTTTGCAAGTGGCGGGGTCAGTACTGGGTCTTGTACTTGCTGGGCAGGTGTGTGGCCACTTGAGCCATGCCCTCAGCCACATCAAGAGCATTCGTAATGTTAGTGATGATGTTTGACAAGGAAGAAAATTTAAAACTGACTTTGAGTTTTTCTTTGTTTCTTTCTAACAGGCAGGCAGTGGTTAAAGGTTCCCTTCCACATCCTTTTGCCCTGACATTATTTGAGGACACTTTGTACTGGACTGACTGGAACACGCACTCCATCTTGGCTTGCAACAAGCACACTGGCGAGGGGCTGCGTGAAATCCACGCTAACATCTTCTCTCCCATGGATATACATGCCTTCAGCCAGCAGAGGCAGCCAAATGGTAAGTGATCTTGATCTTTCAAATTGCAAGTTGGAACAGTTCTGTAGCGGTCTGATGTCTGGCTTTAGTGATGGTTGGGAGGAGGAAGGACATGTCCAAAGGCCATAGAAGGAAATAAAAGAGAAAAAAACCCATCAAAACATAACTCAGATTAGATAGCCTAAACCAATTACAGCCACCCGGACACCTGTCACTCCATACTGGCCACCCTATTTGGAAGGGGTAGAGAAGAGACATAAATTAAAGTGGAGCTAGTTTCTGCTTGAAGCTTACACACAAATACAAAGACTACACTTTCAGTGCTCACTTCCATAGTTCATCATGGACAAGTACATTTCTGGTTTATGTTGCTTCCCTGAGTGTGTGAGTGTGCTCATGTGAATGTGTTTCTGAAACACTTCCTTTAACCTCTGTTAAACTTAAGTTTGCTAAATAAAACACTGGCTTAAACATTTCTGCGCATACCTCCTGTCCTCTGTTCTTTTAAGTTGTGCTTTTATTTTTGGTTACCCTTTACAATGACTTGGGCTGTGTCTGCTGACAATGTCCTCTTGTAAGAGAGGAATGAAGTTGGGTTTAAAAGAAATATGAGAATGTTAAGTGTTTGGCACTTGTGTGTAAATAAATGTCTAGCATGTGTCTGAGTGTATTTCAGATTATGTTCCATAGCCAAAAATGAGGAATTTTTAAATCATGTGTTGCTTTTTAGTTCTTTCCACTTGGGGGGAGATAATCAAATACTGAATGTGTTATATTGGAACCTGATGACCATGAGCCCATAAAAACATTTGAAAATGTATGTGTTATTCTTTTGTAAAAAAGAAATTGTTTGGTCTCTCAGGACCTTTCATTCTCTCAGCTAGCCCTCAGGAGGCCCCTCCCCTTTAAGTTTGCACTTACCTTTCTACTCTCTTTTATGTCCATGTTTTCATGGTCCATCTTATGTTGATTTTTTTTCTGTATTACTTGAATGTATCAATTTCCATAGTTTCTACAAAATTTGCAATTCATTTTCTCTGCATTTGTTTTGTTCCTTTGAGACAGGATCTCACTGTGTAGCCCAGGCTGGTCTCAAACTCTGGATCCTTCTGTCTCAGCCTCCTAAGTGCTGGATTATAGGCGTGTGCCATCATGCCCAGCTTTCTGCTTTTCAGTTTTCCTTTGTTAATCCATTCTCCTTGTTTTTTTCATGTTAATCTTTCCAAGGTGTGACTTTTCAACATTCTAATTCCTTTTCTTGGCTTTCAGTGTCCCCCCACCACAGCGTGCCCCATTCTTTATGCTCATCCAGCGCTGGTGCCTCAGCGGGACCTGCCTCCAGTTATCCTTTTCCTCTTACTGTGTTACCCAGTGTATGGCCTCTAGGCTTGTGTTTTTGTGGCTTTACTGTGCTTGGATGTCCTGTCCTTTTTGTCCTTCAAGCTTCCTGTTATGTGCTGCATACTCCACGAAGTCTGTCTTCACTTCTTTCAACTTCAGTGCTTTTGTTCTCAGTGGGCCTTATATTCACTTGCTGTCTGTAATGTGCAAAGTAGCATCAAGGTTCATAGTTTTGTTTTCTTTTAGTTTTACTGCTTCTTAATTTTAACTTACTGATAAGATTGTAAGCTTTTTAGCCCAAGGATCTCCTGCTTCACTTTTTGCTCTTTCCTCTGAGGATACAGAATTCTAAGTAAATTCTTACTCATTAGTTCCTTTCCTTGCAGGTGGTTTGCTAGTCAAGCACCTGGATGACATTTGGTGATAATTTTGGTGTATCACAGTCGCTCATGTTACAGTTGTTAACCTTTGCGTATCCAGAGTGGGGGAGGTCATCCATAATCATTGGTATTAATCAGTGTGATTTATATTTGACAGCTACAAATCCATGTGGAATTGATAATGGTGGCTGTTCCCATTTGTGTTTGATGTCTCCACACAAGCCTTTCTATCAGTGTGCTTGCCCAACTGGGGTCAAACTCCTGGAGAATGGAAGAACCTGCAAAGATGGTAAGAGATGCTGTCCAGGAGAACACATTGTAAGACAGGATTGCCATCCCTTATGTTTTTCTTCATTTCTCTGTAACAGTGTAAGCACTAGAGCTCTCGGTGCTTTGGGGGACTAACCACTTACATCCAAGCAGTGCGCCATGGTATCTTCAGTAGCTTGCTAGTTTTGAAAAAAAAGCAAGTACTACTTCTGTTCTCTATCAGATTTCTAGTCATACATACCACAACTGATTCCTGTGAAATGAGGATTATGTCTTTAAAAACACAAATAAAGAACCACTACAGAGGGAACAATAGTTACTATGTATTTACCAGAAGGCGTCACTGGGTGGGAATATTTTCTAACAAGTGATTGAAAAATATTTTCGGTTGCTTTTTAATGGCAGAGAAGTGCTTTCAGAAGGAGAAAATATTCCATATTGTACTGTTCAGAGCACCTTCTTTCTGTACTTACTACCACAGTTTGCCTCTCCTCCTCACTCCCAATTCCCTGTGGAGAGAGGACATGTCCAAGAGAGGTGCACTGCTCTTGGACATTTCAGGGATTTCTGGCCTGGGGGAGCAGCAGTCCTCTCTCTTCTTATTGAATGGTAGTCTTCATTCTTCCCTGTGGATCACCACCTGGTTCTCTAGCAACCAGAAAAACCTGGTAAGAAAATCGCATTTAGCAGTGGCTTCTTCATCTTAAGCTGAAAAGCAGAAGTTTTCATTTCAGTGTGTTGGAGAGTTCCTGCAAGGAGGTCGGGGAGTCAGAGACATGGAATCGAGTCTGTGTACAGGATGTTTGTTACGACTTGGCATTGATGAATTATCCTCCTAGTCAAAGGTGAAGTTGGCTGGCTCTTGCAAGATGGTTTCCATGGCAAACAATAATTTGGTTTCAGTTCAGACAAAAGGCTTTTGTAATGTTGCTTTTTTGTTTAAAAAATGCAGTCTGACTTTAAAACCCACAAGATTTTTTAGCAGTGGAGATTTACCTTCTCTTTCCTAGCTGTGCAAATGTACATGCTTACCTAGTTTTGAATTGCAGGGGTACATTTGGTGAGTAGTGGCCTTGAGTTATCTCTTCTGTTGGATTTGCTGTGCCTTTTTTTCTAAGTCCCCTGGAGGGGTGCACCACTCCTGGAGATACTATAGTACCAGGTTGATGTGTGCAGTGGACGAAGCAAGCTCCTATTCCAGCTCCCTGTTCCAAAAATCCATTGGATTTTTTTTGCCCTTGGATAGAGGACGTATCAGATATTAAACTGATAAGAACAGGTACTACACTTGATCTTATCCAAAAAGCTGAGAAGCGATCTGGATTATTGTGCTTAAATAATCAGCTCTATGAACCCTTGGTTTGCAGCGTCTGAGCTGATCCTGCTGGCAGTCAGCAGGGCAGTGGGTGTGCAGAGTTACTCCTAGTCCGTGACTTGCTGTCATTTTTGGCACACTTTTCTCCAGTTTAGACCTTGTTTAGGATCAGCCCTGGAGTCACGCAGCTGGTGTTGAGAGGCCGCTCCTTCTTACAGTTTTTGCAACTGTAAGTCCCTACTGACACCTGAAATTTATATTCCACTATTTTCTTTTGGATAATTTTTTTTGGCTGGGAAGTTTTTTCTTGCTCTTTCAGTTGTCAGTTTGCTTATTACTGTTTTTTTTTTTAGCATGTTATAGTCAGTGATTTTTTGTGGTGATTTACTTGAACATTAAAAATGAGACAAACAGATAAAGCTTAGTATCCTCTCTCAGCTGTGTTTTCATTGAATCCTAATTCAGGTTAAAACATTTCATACCTGATTTAAAACTCAGTGAAATAAAACATCTTAAAGTATTTTTAATAACGCATGAATTAATATTTATTGCGTACCTTCCTGAGTTTCAAATTTAACTCTCTAATTGTCATAGCAACCTTCAGACTTTTACAGTAGGCACTAGACTGACTGAGTCTGTATCTTACCAGCCTGTCTAGTTAGGCAAATCGAGATTGACAGATCTCCAGCTCTTCCTCTTAGCCATTGGTTCCCCTCTCCAGTGATGTGGTTCCCTTCTCCACAGCTTCCTTTGACCTCAGCACTGTCAGGTAGGGTCTGTACTTCTTTAAGACAGCTTTACTAAGATGTAATTTACATACCATAACATTCCTCCATTTTAAGAGTGCTATTCAGTTATTTTTAGCAAATGTACATAGCTAGGCAATCATCACTGTAACCCAGTTTTATGACATTCCCATCAACTACAAAGATTGTTGTCCTAGTTTTTTTTTACTTTTTCAACATACTTCTTGAACAAAGGATCTCTATTTCACATCTCCTTCCTACTTAATACTTAGCACATAGTATAAAGTAGAGTTATTATTGATTGCCTTTGAGTAGCTGTGTTAATTCCAGAAGCTATCTGATAAGTGAAAGCAGAATGGATCAAAACTTGGTTTGGAGAAGTTGGCTGTTGTAGAGCTTGGCCTCACAGTGGGCTGTTGTGTTTACTGTGTTACTTTCCATTTCTGCTCTAAAGAGAATTCATTTAAGTCCTGAAGAAGCTCTGCAGTCTTTATTTAGAGTGGCTGAATTTTGGCTGTGGCTTTCAAATGATTTTTCTTCATTTCACTTTGTCGTTCTAGGTGCCACCGAACTGTTGCTTTTAGCCAGAAGGACAGACTTGAGACGAATTTCTTTGGATACCCCAGATTTTACAGACATTGTTCTGCAGTTAGAAGACATCCGGCACGCCATCGCCATTGATTACGATCCTGTGGAGGGCTATATCTACTGGACCGATGATGAAGTGAAGGCCATACGCCGCTCCTTCATAGATGGATCTGGCAGTCAGTTTGTGGTCACTGCTCAGATTGCCCATCCTGATGGCATTGCTGTTGACTGGGTTGCACGAAATCTGTACTGGACAGACACTGGCACTGATCGGATAGAAGTGACAAGGCTCAATGGGACCATGAGGAAGATCTTGATTTCAGAGGACTTGGAGGAACCCCGGGCTATTGTGTTAGATCCCATGGCTGGGTAAGAAGATTTCCTATGAAATCTATCTGGTGTTTCCATGTTCTGTAGATCCCTGGAGATGTCGACTTAATATGTGAATTACATGAAGTTGACCTTGCTTTACAGTAGACTTCTCTTTAATGGCTGCCCATTTTCAGAATATAGTGGTTGAAATAAAATCTTGAGTTAAAGAATTGCTAGAGGTTTTTTTTGACTTGACTGTCTTGAATATATTTTCTTTCAAAATTAAGTCTATACTTGCTTATTTTGGCTGTGGTCTGCAGATTTTGCTCAGATTGCATCATGGACATCAAAAATGTGCAAGAAATTATTTTCAGAACTCTTTTTCCTTCCCTTGGAGATTTAATCTCACCTCATTTCACCACTTCAGTACTTACTGTGTATCTGTTTACCTAAAACCTTGGAAACACTCCTTTACTCTTCAACCTTGTGTGTGGCTGTACTACCCTGACTGTAGTCCAGGGAACCAGCTCTTTCTATAACCTCCCCAGTGTTGCTACTGTGAGATTTATTCTGAGGATGAGCTTAGTGGTGAATTATACTTCAGTGTTTACTTAAAAATTCAGGAACTACAAGAATCACTTGATACTCTGAAAAGAATTAGTTATTTGGAGCAGTTTGTTACCTAAATATTCCTCCTAGAAAAACCTTTTGTGTCAGAGATGACACACTATGAAGAAAAATACTGGAATTTCATTAGAAATGCACAAAACAATTAGAAAAAAGCATAAGTAAAAATGGCATCTTATTATTGGGAAGCATTTACAGAAACAGTTCTAGAAAGCACCGATCTGAACTTGCTTACAAAGTACACCCACTTTTGCAAGTATCTTAAACACTTCATGTATTTAAATCCTGTGTTTTTAGTTTTCTAATCTTTCTTCATAGCATTGATTGATGGTAGGAATATAATATGTGAGGTGGTCTCACTTTTATTATCTTTTTAACTCTTTCTGTATACTTCTGTAGGTACATGTATTGGACTGACTGGGGAGAAATTCCGAAAATTGAGCGAGCAGCTCTGGATGGTTCTGACAGAGTAGTACTGGTTAACACTTCTCTTGGTTGGCCAAATGGGTTAGCCTTGGATTATGATGAAGGCACAATATACTGGGGAGATGCCAAAACAGACAAAATTGAGGTTTGTTTCTTGCTTTTTCATTTTAACGCAAATTTTACAATGGTTTCTGAGTTGATGATAGTAATTGAAGTTTTAACAGTTGCCTGGGGCACCCAGGGTGTCTTTCACAGAAATTTTATTCAACTTTCACAATTCTAAGGATAATGGGCTCTCTTCTACCAAACCCCAGGATTTCTGAGTTCAGTTGGAACCAAAAATGTGTGTTCATTTATTTCTAGTCTTTTTTTTTTCCAATGGTGGCTCTGGGGTTTTCAGGCACTCTTATCGCTTGAGCCTCTCCGCCAGCCCTGTCTTTGTGTTGCGTTTTTTCAAGATAGGGACTTGTGAACTATTTGCCCAGGCTGGCTTCGAATCCCGATCCTCCTGATCTCTGCCTCCTGAGTAGCTAGGATTAAAGGTGTGAGCCACCAGTGCCTGGATTATTTCTAGTCTTAAAAGCTTATATAAGTGATTTTCCTCATTTTGGATAAAGCCATTGCCTGAATTTCCTAGAGAGAAGAACTGGCAGTCCTAAGTTAAGAGAACAAGACCCATATGTAAAACAACTGTTGCTATATATTAAACATTAAGATAGTTACATGCGAGCTGGTGGAGTGGCTCAAGTGGTAGAGCGCCTGCCTAGCAAGTATGAGGCCCTGAGTTCAAGCCTCAGTATCACCAAAAAGTAAATGAATGAATGAAGTATTTTTTGAGACAGGGTCTCAGTATGTAGACTGCGCTGGCTTTAAACTCATGATCTTCTGCCTCAGCTTCCCAAGTGCTGAGATTATAGACATGAGCCACCACACCCACCTGCAGTTTTTAAATTGATTTATGGAATGCATAGGAGAAAGATTAATTAGGAAATAATATTTACCAAATGGTTGACTTATATTTTTGGCAATCATAGAATTATGGTTTAGAATAATCAATGGTAAGTATTTTATCACAGTGTTTTAGAAGTGACAGATATCCTTGATATTAAATGTGAAGCTTAAAATTCACAACTTGGTATTATTCTGTGCTAGAGGTTTTATGTATCCCATACTTCAGGCAGAGTTAGGATGTCACTTTTTCTTTGGGGGAGGGGATGCATGGCTTCCTGTGTAAGGAGTGGCTTTGAATAGCTCTTCAGGGAGCCCCTGCACACATGTAATGGCTAGAAAATGTGGACTGTAGAGCATTTGTTTTAGAAAGGTAATTCTGAGGAGTGCAGGGACTCAGGGATAGAGAATTAATGGGCCTTCCTTACAGAGTGGAAAGTTGGAGCGGAAGAAACCCAAATACTGAAAATGGCATCTCTTTTTCTTGCAGCTGGTTTCCATTAGCAGAGAATTTTGCTGTATAACATTTCTCCCTGTTAGTGTTTCATTGCTTCCCCCCTCCCCCAAGTCCAAGTCCAAGTTTGAATCTTCTAACAGCATGAGGGCAGTGCTAACGAGACAGAGTGTCCTGTCTGCTGAAGTACAAATTTCCACCTCACCCAGCCCTTCACAGTGACGTGTTGTTGATCTGCATGGGCCAAACTTGAGTGTATGGGGTATCAGTGCTCTTAGGAAAACAGTGGAAAACCCATGTGTTCTAGAGGAATCTACGTGGCAATGAACTTTACATCAGTAAAGCATGCTTGATTTATTACCACTTAGGGATTTTTAAATTTTTGTATCTGGTTCTGCCCTTTTTTTAACTTACTGTGCCTGATTAAAAAGAAAGTCTTTGTTTCTTACTGGAAAATTTTCAATTCTTATTTTTCCCACTTAATGCTTTCTTTTTTTAGGAGTTAATTATTTCTTTAATAAAGTAATACATGTTAATATAGAAAAGTAAAAACAAGGTAATGATAAGGGAAAGCCAACTATTAATATAACCATGCAGAGGTTTGTTTTTTTTTCATGGTGACAATTCCATGCATGTGTGCAGTTTACTTTGGACACATTCACCCCTCCCTCCGTGATTTTCCCATTCCCTCCCTCCTCCTCCCCCGCTTTCAAACAGTGTTTGGCGGGTTTCACTGTGCCGTCTTCATGTGTGCATGTATGGTATGCTTCCATCCTCTTCACCCCTCAGATTTCTTTCCTTTCCTCTCTTCCCTTCCACCAGACCCCCCGCCCCCCAGTCCCCTTTTCACATTCATGTCCCATTATCATTATCGTCATCATTTTAGGTCTAGGTTCCACAAGTGAGCAAGAACATGCCATATTTGACTTTTGGAGCTTGGCTTCTCCTGCTGGTGATCTTAAATTTAATACCTTTGATACAGAAATTTATTCAAAATCACAAGTAGTTTAGGAGCAATTCAGATAAAGACATGAGAATTTATGGAAGGTCCCAAGCAACAGTGTTAAAATATACAAAAGCACACATATAATTAGTTACAATGTTAATTAAATTATTTTGTTAGTAATGAGTACAGTAGATCTTAAGTATTCTTCCTGTCATCCTGTGCTGTACATGTGTTATTTGCTCTCCTACATCTGAGTGAGTGGTACCTTCATCCCTGAATCTGCCTTTTAGTGTTTTTGTGGTGCTGAGGATCAAACCAGGGACCTGTGCTGAGCCACTGTGCCACATCCTTATGTAAACTTGCTTTTTATGTGGGTCCATCTTTTTCCTCCAGGTTTCTGCCACATAACTGCTCTCTGCTCTTTGTCCTCCTTTTGACAGGTTGTTTGGTGTGAGTGGTAAAATGGCTTTCAGCAAACTGTGCACACAGAGATCTCCTCGTATTTTTTCCACTGGAGATTCTGGTGAGCTTTCATAAGTTAGTATCAGTGCTTTTGTCATCTTCTTTTCACAGACACATCTAGATAATAGGGAGAACAGGTATTGTTACTTATTTCCTTCCTCAGACTTGTCTCACATTCCTGGACTCATATCCTTCCACCTTAGCCTCCTGAGTGTTGGGACTACAGGTGTGTGTCACCATACCTGGCTTATTAATTCCCTTATGATAATGTGTGAAATTGCTAGTATATGGAACAACTCTTAATTTACATTAATCTTGCAGACTGTGTGGAGGAAACGGTTAGCTTTCCATCCTGAGAAGAGCAGTGATTCTGGAAATACTTGCTTGCCAGAATCTCTTCTCCATTCACTGGAGAATTGCCAGATAATGTTGAACTTGAAACATTTGGGAAAGATAGCATTTTAAAAATGCTTCTTTTTCCAAGAGATTTATTGCTAACCTTTTGTTTTAGGTGGCAGCTGATCCTGTGATCGTTTGGGTGACATGCTCCCACCTAGGCCCATCCTCCTAGGAAAGCCTTCCTGCTTCATTGTGCCCATTAATGGAAGCTGCTTATTCCCAGGCTGTAAGATATCTCAAATTATGGTGTGAAAGCCCTGTTCTCATCTGGAAGGCAGAATGTGTTTGGGGTCAAACTGCCCCTGCGTGTTTACAGTATATTTGAGAAGGAAAGCAAGCTCTTGCATCCTGATGGGAGCACATTGGGGTTCCCTACGTTATCTTCTCACTTCCACTCTTTGTCAGTGGTGGTGTGGCCAGATGCTGGCTGTGTGAGGAAGTTGGCTGTAAGGGCTGGGAAAGCTGAGGAAGCTAGGGAAGGAATGGGGAACTGGGTTTCATGCCTGATTTTTTAATTTTTTAATCATACAGAGTTATAGAAAAGATATCTCAGTTTCCCTCAGACTTATAATCTCCTTCTGAAGTAGGGACAGGACACAGGGCGTTGTTAAGTTGTCACATGAAAACAAACAAGATAGTGTCATTGCTGAGGTTGTAGCATAAAGTGTGCACATGAGGGCACATGTGCTCTGCTCTTGATTGGAATGGCCACTTGTCTGCAGGTGTTACTTAAAGGCACGCGCTGGCATTTGTCGACTTCTTCTTCCTTCCCCGGGGCCATTTCACTGCCTGTCAAGAGCAGACTGGGTGGCTGGTCTGTGCTGTATCTCGTGCCTCCCAGTTCTTACTGCAGTGTTCTGGACTTCCTGTCTTAGCAGGAGAAACCAATATCATCTTTCTGGAAGGAGACTCATCAGAAGGTCTTTATTCTGTTCTGTATGACCCTGCAGTAGATGGAGTAACATTGCTGTTCTCCCAACATTCCAGTTTTCCCTGTCAGCTCTCACTGCCCAGATACCTCCTGCACCGATCAGTGCACGTTGAAAGCATTCCTTGCCGTGATGTACCATGTGCTATGCACTGTTAGTTTATGTGGTTTACTTTAGACTGGCTTGGGTTTTGAGAGGGGGTGGTCTCTGCAGACCAAGCTGGCCTTGGGCACGCTATGTAACAACACGGCCACCAGCTCACAGTCCTCCTGCCTCTGCCTGCCAAGTGCTGGGATTACAAGAGGACGCTATCGTGCCTGCCAGCTTGGATTTTCTGGAGGATGTATTTCTCATCATATACCAGTTTAACTGATTTAAAAAAGAATATATTTTGAACAGTTTTATTGAAATAATGATACTGTTGTGCTAAATTTTCCTCACAGCTTATTCACTCATTTTGCTTTTTAACCTACCCTCCTCATTTATTCCAACCCCACCCCCCTTTCTTTTTTTTCTTCTTTGGCGGCACTGGAGTTTGAACTCAGGGCCTTATACTTGGTAGGCAGGCACTCTACCACTTGATCCACTTCCCCAGCCCTTTTCAATTTATTTTTTGAATAGGGTCTCACATTTTTTGCCTAGCCATCCTGGACTTCCATTCTCCTACTTACACCTCCCCTATACCTGGGACAGCAGGTTCATGCCACCACACCTGGCTTATTTGTTGAAATGGGTTCTCGCTAGCTTTTTGTCTGGGCTGGCCCCCTGATCTCTGCCTTCCAAGTACCTGGGATTGCAAGCGTGAGCCACCATGCTTGACCTCCTTCCTTATTTCTGAGCTTCTGCTGACAACAGCTGTTAGAGGTAAAAAGAAAGTTTGTTTTCTACTTTAAGAGTCTGTGGATTTGTTGGAAATCTACTTAGTGTGAATTTCTTTTTTCTAGAGGATACAATAGCCATATGTAGTTTTGTTCAAATCATATTTATACCTGGCACAGCTTTGTTAG